AAAATTCTAGCCAACAATTGATTGTTCCGGTAGAGCACAACTTTTTAAATATTTCTAAGTGTGAAAAAAATATTCTTTCGTTAAATTCTAATCAACAATTAAAAACCGATAAAGGGTATAATTAAAATTAAATCTATAAATAGAATTAAAATGAAAAGTTAAACCAAGGTCATCACTTACGGAAGTTATTGAAAACCCAATAATACCGATGAACTCTTCTGTTTACACAGTTGACACAGTTTTCATCATCTACTGACACATTGACTCAAATTAAGTTCAAGGAAGTAGCACGACATATTCTAGATGACTAGTGTCTGTTTCTCTCTTCCTTAAAGAAAATGACACGGAAGAGCCTTTCTGAACTTGAAATAAAAGAGAAGGTAGCTAACTTCCTAGTGAGTTCATAAAACCGTGAAGCGATAGCTCTCTTCCTTAATCCAGAAGTCCATTGCACCTTGGAAGAAATTTGACTTCCTCTGAAAAATTGAAATGGAGAGGTTGGACCTTGAACAAGAATTGCCTGTCCCTGGAATGAACTTCGATGATCGAAACTGAATCTAGTTCATTGCCTTATCTGGTATAAGAAAGTAGTTCAATGAGTTTGTATATTTTTTTTTCTTCAGATTAAATGATGTATTAATAAAATACTATTTCGTGTCTACCTTGAGAAGTGTTGGAACTTTATTTGTGTGGTTCTTGAACGATGATTCTAAAACTCTAAATGGGATATATACATAAAATATATTGTAAACTGGAGTTTAATTTTAAAGGCATAGGTACAAATATTTGGGCAGACTGTTGGATGAACGAAGTAATATCTGTCGTCTATAGTCTTTTTGATAATTTTTAATTGTAATTTCGGCACTGTTTGTAACTTATTAATGCCAGTTTTTACTAATTAAACAATCTAATTTATCAAGTTTTTTTCGAGGAATTGTCTTATGTTAACGAGAAAGTGTCGTTTTAATATTTACTACTTGTTCAAGTGGTGTAGGAGGTAGGTCATTCATTTTTAATAGTTCGCAAAATATTTTATGTGAATGAAAAAATTATATTTTTAAGTGAATCATTATTTAATAGACTATTCAAGTATGTGTTTCTTTTCCGTTAATCTATAGTATACTAATTTAAGGTTAAATCTTCCAACTGGCGTGCGCATAAGGAAGACAAAAAAGAGATAGCTCTTCAAAAATCGACTTTTGACTATTCTACTTCCAACCTTTGATCGGCATTGATCGTTAATCGTTTAAGGTTTGTGGAGCTAATATCTTTCAAAATTGATTTCTTTTACCAAATGATTTGAAATAATTTTTCATTTTATAATACATAATTCCAATTAAGTATATCCTTTACTATTACTTTTTGCATTTTAAAAATTGCAACTATCAATATTGTTCAGACAAAATTCAAGCAATTTTCTAAATTTTATTTAAAAACAATCAGGTAGATTCTTTATAAAAGTTTGCTTTTCCTTTCAGGTAAAAATGTGTAAATTAATTTAATACTTATATTAATAATTATTGCAACTTAATATTTATATTAACGATTATTATAATTTAATATTTATAATAATCACATAATATTTACAATTATACTAGCCAATAATTGATATAATTTAATATTTATGCTCAAACTTTGCAACAGCGTATCCTTAAAAATTCATGCGATCTTTCACGCTATTATGAAGGGAATGGCTTCTGAAAAGTCATAATCTAAGCATGATAATATACACTGATGAAAGCAATTGAAGGGACAATTATATTTGTTTGCTGTAAAAAACTGGACTAGTCCAAGGCAGGTGTTCTCGGCTCCATAATAGATGGTCCTTTTTGTGGTTAACAGTTAAAGGAAAGCAGACTGCAAGGTGCCTGGAATGCATGCCACCAACGTTAAGTATGCAGGTGACTGTTATCCGTTTTCTTTTATGTTACTCTGTTGCGAGACAGTTGTGTCTCTGTCGCGAACCTATACCTTTTGGAGTCTCAAATAATGGTCTTAAGCCCATATTTTTCCCCTTTTGAGTTCTTGACCAGGTTGGTGGATTATTGTTCCTGTCTGACTCTAGAAAATGTTTCAGAGTAGACACCACGTTTCTCGAAGCCCTGAGGGTCCTAAAATAGGGAACCTGCGATTAGCGCGTTTCGATTCTTTCAACTATCCACCATCTTGTGGTATCGTCTAGACCAGGGGTTTTCAACTTACATGAGGCCGGGGGCCGCAATTAAAACACCAGTCAAATGTCCGGCGGCAGCTTTATCAAAATTTTATTTAGGATTCTTTTATGTTTGAAGGAACATTAAATATTGCTGTCAGATTTTTATCAAGTTGTACAAAACAAAAGTATTGAATAACAAATTAAAATGAGAAGTAGATTTCTAAGCAACACACAGTACTAATTTTGTATTTGAATAAATATTTTCTTGGATGCAAAACCAGAGAAATAAATTTTTATGCACCGTTGGTATGTTAAATTTCATAGAAACGAAGAAATTAGGTTTTTTGTAAACGAAAGAAAAGTATTTTAAACCCATATAGATTTTTTACGAAAATTGTTTGCAAAAAAGGACAACTAATATATTTTAGTTCGCGACCCACAAAAAAGGCTATACTGGCCGGATGCGCCCAGTGGGCCGCCAGTTGGTAATCACTGGTCTAGACGATGACGACTGGTCATACTAACGATGGTAAAAGATAAAAAAAAGAACTATTCAAAAATAAAGGGTTGGACAAAGCTACGATGTTTTAAAACGTCCTCACTCTACATATTTCGGCAAGTAAATTAAGTACCTCTACACAAACATGTTCGCAGCCCTACTTACGCTGATGCTTAACTAATGCGTCAAAAGCTAATGTATTTGTGAAAACTTTGCTATCATCTGATACCTTATTTGCGTATAGGCGCTGTTTATTTCGTTCATTAAGAAGAAACAACCTTTTTCCATTTAATTGTTTTTATCAGTAGTTCAATTTGGGACCGTTTCATCAAACTTGAACGATTATTTTATGATTCCATGCGACCCAAACTTTTTAAAAGAATATAGTTCTCTTGTACGGATAATTTTATTTGGCTTTAAAGAACATGAAAATCCGAGCTTAATTCTATAAGTGAAAATTAAAATATTAAATTTCATACTTATTTTTCAGAGGAATATACTTTTTCACTTAACGAAGAGAAATACGAATTTAACTAATATGCAAACCACTGGTTTAAATTAAATTGGAATTTAATTGACTTTCGGTCAGAAATATTTTTTCTAAATAAAGGCGCAGTGCTTTCTCAAAAAATAATCGATAGTGCTAATTTTGTATCATTTTTAATAGATTATAAGATCGATGAGATTTATGGATTAATTTTAAGGAAAAAAAACAACGATGACGATTTAATATGGTTGAGAAATTACATTTAAAGAGCTTAAAAGTTTAACTTCTTTAGAATCAAGTTGGAAATATTAAATGAATCAAGTTGGAAATATTAAATGAGATGAAAAAAAAGAGTTAAAGAATTAGAAAATACAAGAAATGTTAAAATTTTTTTAATCCAAGTTTTATAATTAAAAATAGAAAAAAAAATAGGCTTGAGCAATAGGAACTTGTGTTAGGTAAAATTATGTAGAATACAGTTTTAAGAGAAATGAACATTAATAATAAACAAATGCGATAAGTAAATGACGTAGGTTAACTCTGGTTAAGTTACCCAGGTTACAACTGTGGTTAGCAATTAAAACTAAAAATTGTTTTCAAAATCAATAATATGGTAAGAAGTGATAAAAAAATTTAGAAAAAAGGGGTCTAATGTTTCACTAAATTACAAAGTTTGGTGAATGTTAACATTTATAAAGTTCCTGTGGTTAATATCGGTAAAAAATTGTTACATATCATTATTTTGCACTGAGTTTCATCGCATATAATGAAAGAAAATTGGTTATCATAATTTCTTACTTACAACTCCGATACAACGAGAACCGAATATAGACACTGGCAGAGGTAAGTTGGAAAAAAATGATATTTGAAAGAAATATTTCAGTCAAAATCAGTACTTGTTGAATGTCGAAATTGAAAAAAAATTCTTTTTCGTAATGCAATTAAAAAAGTAATTTTTTCCTTTATTTTGAAGAAAGAAATAATTATAAAACAATCAGAAGAAGATCATAAGAGGTATAGCTATAAGATGATCAGTTTGTCCAATTATTAATTTATAATATTTATAGCATATTATAAATATTTTAATTTATTGTTGGGTCTAAGAATTTCTATAATTTTTGAATTTTGATAATTTTTGGGACAGTTTGCATCGCATTCCTTAATTTTTAGAAATTCCTGAAACAAAACAAAACATTTTCAAGCAGGATAATTTTTTGTTACTTATTAATAGACAGTATAATGTTCAAAATAGCCTTTAATGGTTTTAAAAATATTAACGTATAATAATAAAGGAGTAGCAGACATGTTTATCTTTGATAACTTCATAATACTTAAACAGGACATAAATCTCTTGAAACTAATTGAAGCTTCAAATTAAATCCACATTTTTGAAAAGCTTAATTGAAAAGGTATACAAATTTTGTGTTATACAAATGTTCTTTATTCACAAACCAGTCACTTTATGTAAATCTGTGTAAATAAGAAAAGCAAACACTGAGATTCTTACTTCTGATAAAAGTAGAAGAAGAAAAAAATATCAGTCAGAATACATCCGATTCTGCTTGTAATTTAATCAGGCCTTCAGAAAACAAATATTTAAATCAGGCTAAAAACCCGTGAAAATCTTTTTTTCTTTTTCCCGAATTTGCCTAATGATCATGACAGCTTTTATGGGTTTACCTAGATATTTGATGACCTCTCCCTCATTACTTCTCCTGATTTTCAAACTTTCTAAGATGACTGGAGAGGGGGTCGAGGAGCCCTTTAGGGGGTGGTGCGCGTGGAATAGGAACGAAAGTTGCGCCCTCACGCAACGAACGCTGCTTAACCGGTCCTCCTCCTACCAGCTCTTCAGATGCGTCTCGTTTTGCGTTCTATTCGCTCTCTAGGTTCTTTCACCGGATTCAGAAATTCGGGAGAATCTGGAATTCTCCGGAGTGCAGCCCAAAGTGGAGGTGAATTTTTTTCCCCATCTCATACCGACCGTTTCTTCATTAGATTACTTGCATGGCGGAGAATTCTGAAGTTGAAGTTCATCACTGAGTTGTGTGGAATTAAATGTGAGAAAAGGGGAGTGAAGTTATTGACATTTGGAGATCCGGCATCCTCTCCTTTTTTGAAGGGTGACTCCGGATGTGGATAGGTGAGCAATTCTCGAATATTTCTTTTTCCCCCGTTTTTTGGAAATTGAATTACACAAGAATTTAACTTGGTTGTCAATACGGTTAGAACTTTTATTGCATGCGTAATGTTGAAGAGATTTGCATTGTGACAGACTAAATCAATCGTATTATTCAAAAAGAAAAGCTACTAAATTCAATTTCAATTTATTTCTAAACTTTTAATGGTTTTTAAAGCGCTATAAATAACAATTATTCAATTAAAATTTGTTTGAGTTTTATTCATATATGAATTTTATTCAGTTGTCAGCATAATTTTATTGATGAAAGTTTATTGGTGTAGTTTTAAAAAACTAAGCATGCAATAAAATTTCATCAATAAAATTTTACCTGTTTTCAATAGTGTATATAAATTTTACAGAAATATTCAGAAAATCTTCATAAAATTCATATAATCACTTTTAATATTTTCAATTCAAGCAACAATTCAATAAATTATTTTAAAGTCTTATTTATTTTACAATAATTTTTTTTAGATGGCAATGCAGTTTTTGCTGATTTATTTTAATTGAATTGCCTAATTTTTACAAATCTTTGGCTTAGTTTTTTATAAATAGAGTGTATTATATTTGAAACAGTTATTAAATTCAAATATAACTGAAATAATAACTTTTAACTTGCAGCATTTCCACAAGAATACTAACTAATTTTTATATATTTGAGAAGAATTTTACATAGTTTCCAGTGTGTTATATACAGTTTTGTAAGATTATTGATGAAGCTGTATGGCATGCTATGTGATGTATTCGTACTTTAGTACGAATACACCATATAGTTAAAGCATTTTTCTATGTTGTGATACGTTGTTAACATGCATATATATATTTATACACATTTGAATTCTAAAAATACCACAAAATTTAAACTTTAAAGGATGTTAAATAAATTAATCATTGCTTTGTAATAAATAGGTGATTTTGGTTCACTGAGAAAAGGAATATGGTTAGAACTGTCAGAATATTGCAAAATTTATCGTTCTTCTGGCTCGCTAGTTTTCCCCAAAGCGATTTAATAAGGATTTTGGTAAAAATCATTACCAAAGCGAGAAAATAAAAAGCTAAATAAATATGGCTTAATAATATGTGATGCATTTCAAAGATTAAATTTAGTTAGTTAAATTTAATTTACTAAATGTGTGGGAAATAAGTTTTAAAATCCAAAATTTTTGGGAAGCAATCATATGAGCGGAAAATTACTGAATGAATGGTTAAATAAGGAATGTTTTGTTTTTTAATAAAAGAATTACGTTATTTATTCATATTTTTTAAACTAGAAATGCCATTACCATACAGTGCGCAATTTTTCCAGAATATTTTGCCATGTATTCTTGTTCAACTATCCCAATTGTTGATACAAATTATTGCATTAAATTTTCCTACATTGTGTGTTATTGTTACTGTTTGCATCGGAAATGTTACTGTTTTTTTTCTGGTTTATGCTACTGTTTATGCTTCATAGGTATTGTTACTACTTATTATTTTTATATTGGAAAAATACTTATTTAAACTTTCGTAATACTTTTTATGATTAACTGCAAACCTTTATAGTATATTTCGTTGATTTTTCTTAAAATTACTACTATTTGTCTATTCGAAAATTACTATTCGTAGCTTCAATAAAAAATTATTATTTTTGCACTATAAATTTACTTAAATTATATTGTATTAAACTGTAAACGTAGAATTTAAATTCTAAACAAGATTGACGATACTTCATTGTTTCAAAATGTATGCCGCTATTCGTGTAAATAAGAAGGTTTAATTGCATAAAATTGCATTTTAAAATGAAAATGACTTACACCACTTGAAAAATGGACTCTTTTATTTAATTTGCGATTTGTGTGTGGAATGAGTAGTTTAATGTTGTAATTTTAATTTATCATTACAAATTTGTAAATTCCTTATTACCTGAAGTCGCATGAAATAATTTGTTTCAACGGTGTAAAAGTTATCTTTCCTTTAAATTGTCTTTTTGAAACTATTTCACATTTTTTGCAAGTTTCCATCAAAATGTTATATTTTTCGATCTTTCGTATGAATAAAATCTAAGTTTTAGGGCAGAGGTCAGTAAAAATATCACTTAATGATTTTCTTCTAATTGTAAAGGAGTTTTACACTAAATACAAATAAATTAAGTGCGCAAATTAAAAATATTTATAATAAAAAATGTCTGAAAATTATGAATTTCGTAATTGCAATGCAATACATTTATACGATATATTAGCATTAAGCAGAAATTATGCAAAATATATTGTAGGTGTTTAGTGCATGGATTTAATTAAACTTTGTATTTTAAAACAAAATGTTTTGAATTGACGTATATTTTTAAGCGCATTAAATAAAACTACTTATTAAAAATGAATTAAAAGAACTACATTTCCTTTATCGAGGAATTACATGAATCAGAAAAAAAAAATTTAATTACGCCGATACCTTAAAATTACGATGAGAATTGTAGCTCAGACGAAAGTTTTAAGTTTTGATGTTTGCCATAGAAAACTATATTTTGCTTAACTAAAAAAATATATTTTTTCGAATTCACAAATCAAAGGACACTTTTTCAGGTGGTTTAAAATTTGTTATAAAAATATCATAATTACTTAATTAAATACTTTGTAATTAAATGCACCCAAATGAATCAAGTAGAACTGTTACGAAGTACTTAATATTTCAACATTTAATTACAAAATAATCTATTTAAATCTATCGTATCATTGCTGCGACTCAGAACATCGAAATTTAGCGTATAGTAGGAGAAAGCAGAGATGAGCTGATAGACGATTATTTAAAACAGCTCCAAGCTTTATAAGGCAACCAAACTATTTCACATCTCGCCTAATTCAATAGTAATTTTTGCGTTTTTGTTCTTACGTTTCTTAAATACTAATTTTAGACCTCTGATATGCATTCTCTTATCAGGGATTTTCAAAATATATATTAAACGTGGTGGTTATAGAACACTTCGTTATATAATCGAATGTTCAAATGTTCAAAACTTATAATTTAGTTTTTATGTTGTTTTTTTAGACTTTATGTCTAATTTTTTAATTTTTTATTTACTTTTATTCTCTTTTTTGTTTGTTATTAATGCTTTTGAAAAACTATAAGCGCAACTTTAGCAATAAATCTGTAAACCTAGTGATCAAATAGTATCTACATTACATTACGTCCTCTTAATTTTGTTATTACTATTATTATTATTAATTATTATTATTATTATTAATTCGTATTATTATTATTAATTAGTATTATTATTAATTATTATTATTATTAATTAGTATTATTATTAATTATTATTATTATTATTATTTTCTTTTTGAAGCAAAAGAATTGCACCCTACTTTATTCTTTAAAGACTACGGTTATTTATTTCACTTATGTGAATTNTATTATCATTATTATTATTAAATTATTATTTTTTTTTATAATGAGAAATTTAATTTTTAAAAATGTTTATTATAAGTAAGAAAAATGTTTCGATAAGATTTTTTATTCATTATAATCAGGTATCTATAAATGTAAAAACGAAAATAAAGAAAAATTCAAGACTTAAAAATAAAAGTACGATCAATTTGTTATTGTAGGTGTTTGTGTTGTCATATGAAAAAAAATGCAATTGGAAACCCAGAGCTTGAGTAGGGAAAACATCATACTCCAGAGCAAATCTTTATCAGCAACTACTTTAGTATCATAATAATAAAGATTATTAAATTAGAAAACACCTACTACAAATAAATAAAACTAACGTTTTTATGTGATAAATAGCTTTGTATTTCCTATAAGAGGTCTTTTTTTAAATTATAAATAGTTGTCACTCTTAGAAACTGCTAAAAAAAATTGAGGAAATTAAGCGAAGGAGTGATTGAGACTAAGTTTATTTCATTTATCGGAATGGCTTGCCATGGCTTACCATGGCTTGCCATGTAAATAAAAGGAGACAAAATTGCATAATCGGTTATTATTTTTTTATAAAGATGAACAATTTGCAATTAAGTCAAAAAGATTGCAAGAAAATACAATGATATTACTTAAATTTAAAAAAATGTTTTTCTGACGAAAAAAATAATAACTTCCTAACATATGAAATACTTTCGGCAACTGTCAATGTAGTGATTTTCTGAAACCTTGACACTTGGACCACTGGGTCTTCAAAAACTGTTAAAAAATGTTGAAGAGCAAGTGACAGAGAGAAAATATAACGGAATCTCTCTCCTTCGATATTTTTTTTAAACGGAACTCTCTGGAAATAAATAATCGAAGCAATTGCTCAAATCAAGCATATAACTGTAAACGTATAAAAAATAAAGATTTCTCCGAATATCTAGATAAAATTTTTAAGAAGAATGACGCACTTTAGATGAATTAGAATCCCTGAAATTGAAAATTTCACTTTTAGATATATATTTTTTGACCGAAGCATTGACTTCATTAATATTTGTTTTCTTTTTGTCCAGTTTTTTTGGAAAAACATTATTCTTTTCCTTTTGCGCAGCTTTTTTAAAACCAAATTGACCAGAAGAAATATATTAATACTTTTAGTTTGAGCTGCAGATTCATGAATATAAAAAAAATTGTTAATATATAATAAATAGTTAATCCCTTAACTTAAGAAAAATATTTTCACTAATATGTTATAGTTAATCCATAAATTAAAATGCATTTTTTCACTAATATATGATATATAGTTAGTCCATTTATAAAATTTTTTTTTCACTTATATATAATAAACAGTTAATCCAATTATTTAAAAAATATCTAACTTTTTAAAAATTGGAAAAGTTTAAGCCTAAATAGATGAATAATGGTTGGTTCAAAGTTCAATAAATAACAATAGTGTTGATAAGAAATGCTTAGGATTTTATTCCTTCCTAATATGTTCAGAGAATTCCGTGCTCGTTGTGTTTTCGATGAAAATAGAAGCACATTATGAAACGTAATGGCATAATCTCTTTACATCAAGAGAA